TGCCCAGCACTGAGGAGCCTGACCTTGGGGACGGAGAAGGGGAAGGCCAAAAGGAAGACCCTGGTGCCAACTATGCCTGCATTGCCAAAAACAAACCCACATGAGCATCCCCAGATGCCTCACTCAAGCCAGGCGGGGCAGGAGGGAGGATCACCCTGGGGTCCACCCAATAAAGACCTCGGCCTTGCCACCTTCTGTCTCAGGCTTCTCAGTGCATCTTGAGCCCCCATTCACAATGACCATCATTGAAACTATTGTGGCTCACCCACTCACCCACTCTGGGGTCAAGTTGCAATTTACTGGGTGAAGAACAGTGTTTAGGGGACTGAACTCCCCTGAAGGCCAGAAAAGAGTATTTGTCTGTGGTCCTGGCTGAAAAGGGGTAGGGTGAGAAGTAGGAATAATCATATCTGATGATCCCCATTTCTCAGAAGAGTGGAGTTCAGCCTTCTGGGCCTGGGAGAGGGTGATGGGCCAAGCTCCAGGATGGTAGGGAAGGGGGACCTGGCATGATTGCTGGGAAGCTCCCCCTTGAACCTTTCTAGGTCAGACTTGATGGAAGGCAGAGTTGAGAGCAGGCATAGTGGGGCATCTGGAGAATGGAGAAGAAAATACATGGGCTCATGAGGAGGAGTTAGTGGTGGGGCAGAGAAGGATTTATTGGGGTCTCTAGAAGAGGGTCAGGATCCTCGGGTCTGGAATCACTCTTCAGAGGCCGTCCAAGGGATGGCAGTGTATTCCCATGTGACAGTGGCCTGGTGAGAGAAATGACAGGAGCCACTCAGTGCCACAGCCCCAGAGTCCCCCTCTCTTCTTGGTGTCTGTCACTCCCTCCTCCAGCTCTCCTACTGCCCCTCCCATCTCTTCTGCCACTGCTCCTGGTTCCATTACTCACACTTGCCCTGGTAATACAGGGTACTGCCCATGGTCACAGACAGAAAGGGGAAGGCATAGAATCCAGCCTGAAGGAGGAGGACTGTGCTGACCTCCAGCTGAGGAGGTCCTGCAAGAGGGTGGTGCGGAGAAGGGGCTTGGCACACAGGTCCTGGGGAAGAAGCCTGCACAAGCTCAGGGCGGGGCAGGGAGCCTCAGGGAGGTCTACTGACTTCCAGGGTCCTATGGTGGCCTCCTGCCACCTCCCAGCGCCTCACCTTTCTCCACCACCAGCCGAGTCCCACTCCCTGTCCCAATACCCAGGCCCAGGACCTCCACCTTGCACATGTAGATGCCGGCATTATGGCCTCGGGTGTCCCAGATGTGCAGATCAGCCTGGTGGTCATAAAGGAAGTGGAAAGAGGCAAGGGGACCCAGGCAGCCCCTAAATTCTGTGGTCCCATTCCTCACCTCCTTCCCCAGAGTCACCTTGTCCTGGTACCATGTGACAGAGCCAATGGCTGGTCTCCTTCAGCTGATATTGAAGGAGCAGAGCAGTAAGGCAGGGCCACCCTCCTGGGTACAAATCTCAGAGGGCTGGGACACTAGAGAACACAGCATCCTGGGGGCAGAGAGAAGCTCCAGAGAAATGCCTCCCCAGTTACTCAAAGAGAAAAGACGAGAGGGCTTGCATGGAATGTCCCAGCTATCCTCCCACATAGGGTCACTAAGGCAGGCACTTTGGGTGCCTCATTAAACCCTTCCCACTTTACCAATCTTATTTCTTAACATTGCTGATTAAATTGCTTTTCCAATTCTTCCCCCTACCAGCTCTCACCTCACCACGTCCCATCATTCTCCAGCTACATTCACTAGTAACTTGTTTTGCTGAAATTTTATGTCACAGTGAAATTGAAGCTCATGAATGAATGTGGCTGCCTAGTTAACCAATATCATTAATTGTATTGTTTCAGGTATTATTATTATTATTTTTTTTTTTT